AGAGTGGCTGAATCTGGAGTGTATGCTTGATTCATGGCACAATCCTGGGATTCAGGGTGGGTGATTGCTGGATCAGTCCACTGATTGGATTGGCACCACCCTAGTCCCTATAGACTGGATACAACACAAGGGACAGAAAGAGGTTTGTCTCCACTCTCTCCGATGTTGCTTTTGCTGTCTCCACTGCCACAAACTGCTGCCCCTCTGCCATGTGCCACCCTGCCTTGGAGCCAGCTGACTGAAACCTCTATAAACTGTGAGCTAAATAAACCTTTCCTCCTTTAATATTGAGTGTCAGCTATTTTGTCTCAGCAATGAGAGAAAACTAAGATAGTTACTTTAAATAATTGTCACTCAAGTAATGCATAATGCAATACCATTTTATTTGATTTGTAGTTTTGCAGTTAAAAGGACTTTCATTCATCTTAATTGACTATTATGATACCTTAGGTGTGATAAAGAATTTCACTACCTCCACCTTAAAGATAAGTAAACTGAGAATTAACTGAACTGGAGAGACAAAGAAATAGCACAAATTTTGATGGCTATATTTGTTTTGCAGGACTGTAAGTGGGAAAAAACTCAGGCTCAGTGAAGGAAATATGAAAATATTCAAAATTATGTCTCTATATATTGGAATTCTATGCAATTTTTCCATATATTCATGCTCTCTAATACAATGGTGGAAATTTAGTTAGCTGAGATATATCCACAAATTGAAAGTGTATTTTCATTTATGTAACAGTGGTTGAAAGAAGTGATTTGTGCTTTGGTTTATACTGCAAAAGGATTTAACTTGTCTCAAGCTGGTTCATCCTGGGGGAAACAAAAGCCAATCTATTTATTCTTGTTCTAATGCTTTTAAATTTAATTTTAGATAAATGTTTTGGTCTGATGAAATGTCACAAAATTTATATCTCAAGAATAAATTAGAAATATCACATGATTTCTCTTACATGAGAAACTCAAATTATAAATAAAGAGCACAATAAAAGATTAATAATAGGAAATAGGGAGATAGATCTTTCCCAAGTGGGAAAGGGATTAATAGATGGAAGAAAGAGGGGGAAAGGGGTTTAAAAAAAGGAATTCAGATATGCTATGTACATGCCCTGATTCCACACATGTAATGTAACCTATGTACTGCAAACATGTACTAATAACATTTTTGAAAAAAGTTTCTCACTTGGTCCAAGATTACATAGATTAACAGCATGTTTAGCTAAAAGCATAAGCATTTTCCTACCAAAGGCTGTTTCAATAAATATAGTAAACTTCAGGAAAAAATAAGTTCTGTGAGGAATGTGGCTGTTCCAAAGCCCTTTGCATGACATTTATGTTTTTGTCTCTGCCCTGCAGCAAAGCATGGGAGATGGATGTGAATCTTGAGCCTTCCTGCAGGAACTGTTTCAGAGTAACACAGCACAGCACAAGGCATGTAGGGTTAGAAACAAAAAGCTATCACAATCAGACTCAGACTCTGATGTACGAGCCAAAAGGTCAGGGTGGGGAATGAAATATTACCTGTGCACATACTAAGAGCAAAATAAAATATAGTCTGGACAAAGGTAAATGTTTCTTCCTTCTTGGGGTAGCTGACACTGACTGCATGGACTGGCAGTAGTACTTCTTTCCCATTTTTCAGTCATAAAACACTGAAGCAGCAATTTCTCTGAGGTCGTTTCTCTAACCTCACACAAAAGTAGGCAATTTGTGTGTGTTTAACTCCAAATAGAAAATAACAAAACTGTATATGCATGGTCTACAGTTCTTCCAAACTCTGTAGTATGTTGGGTAGAGACATTTCTCTACGGTGTTTCTGTACATCCTATATTTGCTCTTGCTTTGGATTTACTTTCAAGGACTTGAAAATGATAGATATCAGCCTTGGAAGATAGAAATAGTACATCCAGGAATAGCAGACCTAATAATAAAGATTATTTTTAGCTATTGAGGTTTTATTTCCAAACTCTCCCAGGGCAAAAGGCACCATTAGTTGATTTTAGTCTTGACCTAGATGTTCCATATGTGCTCAGTATTTACATCACAAAGAAACTGCATTGCCAATGCCAACTGCCAGGCTTGCTCAGGATACATGCTCATGGGGACAGGTATACTTTGCATAAAAACATCCTGTATGAGTAAAATAATGTGAAGTATGTTAATCTGGATAAAACAGTAGTTTAAAAGTTCAGAAGGCATGGCATTTTCCACAGACTGACTATCGTGTATGGATGAATGGCAGCTTCATCTGTTGAGACATCCATACTGATGACCAGGTGATCCACCAGGTTTTTGGTGAAGAAAGTACATATAACTTTCATGAAAGAAAAATAGCTCCTTGGAGCAATTAAATTATTATTTGTATATATTTTATAAAAATCTCTGTGAAGAGTTTTACAAATCATGTGTTTCCACAGGACGGATTGTTGAATGCAGGAAGGACAATGTTGCATTCACAATTGAAAACACCTAAAACAAAACTGGGCATAGACTTTATACTTGCAATTATTTGTTGCCTGACTTACTGGAATTAACAGAAATTGTCCTTTTTATAATGAGAGACTCTATCTCTGAGACTTTATAAATCTTAAGGGAAACAATTATCACTTTCATTAGTTCAGCAGATAATTCTCTTCCCATTATCCAAGAACATGGATGAATTTAGCAATTGTTGGAACTGCAAACCTTAAAGAGTTGTTCCTCAAACTGTGCAAAACCTGCAATTCTACTTCCTTAATCACTTTTGACAGAAATATTACAGTATGATATCATCAGTAAGAATCTGACAAAATAATAAAAAGTCTTTTAATTTAACAGAGATCAAACATAAACTAATACATGTTATGAACTGCCTGGCATAAAACGATAAGTTTTCCCATGGCCTGTGAAGCCTACACCATGAAGTGAAATTTGCACTCTAGAATTCATTATTTTTCTATGGTAAAACTGGCAGAGTGATTGCTAGAATTAATGTTCAGGTGATAATGAAGTAAAGGAAGAAAATCTATTCATAAACTGTTTTATTTTGTTTAGTTTTACATCATCTCATGTTTAGCCTTCAGCTTAGCCAATTAACTCAATACATGTTCCTAATCTTGATTTATT